TAGATCAATTTGCTTTGATGTAACAACCATATGTTATGCTAAAATGTTACTATGACAAGCCAAAAACAGTTTTTAAAGTAAATGGGTGCCTTCCATTCCCCCCTAACAAGCACCCACCCCCCTAGTGCCCCTTTTTAGTTTTGGCCACTGCCCCTCAAAATGTCTGTGCACGGCCCTGATTTGACGTACCGTAAACTCTTGTTTGAAGGTACACGACTCGCCATCGCTTCGCTGAGAGCATTGTTTCATACACTCACACAGAGAGTCTTACATACCATGCAGAATTGCATGCTAATTGTAAACGATATTCTTTCTTGTATTTTCCTGTCAAAATAACGGAGTTCATTTGGAATTCTTCAGCTTTTAAGAACAACCATAAAATACTGATGGTTTCTCCGGTAGTGGGCGGAACTAATGTGCAAACGGCAATCTCATTGGCTGGCGCTCACCTATTATTGGCCCTGTTTTGATTTCAGCAAATACGTTTGAGTGAACGCAAACAACATGATTACTATTTATGAACCCAGCAGCTCATTAATCTTATTAGTATTATTATAATTTTTTTTTTTTTACAGAAACACTGAATGACCAACAATATCTTAAGCACCACCATCAGTCCCAAGTTCAGTTAAAATGACAAATATGCATTCATACATGGCTACCAAGTTTTAATTCTAATTACTGAAGTTCAATCATTAAATAATGATTGATTATCATATCAAATTATAATGCTTGACTGACTGATGTTAAGAATGTACTTTCATATGTTTAAAAAGTTGTGCCATTTTACACATATATATATATATATACTATTGTAGCGTCTGGACCACTCAGACACACCATTTTTCATTTGATTTAACAAATAAATTATTCATTAGATTAACAAATAATCACAGACCCCTCACCCAATAAACATGCTGGGTGCCAGGATGTCTGCGAACGAATAGGCTTCTGATTCCATGGCAACCAATGCTGATATCACTGGTTTTATTGCCAGTGGGAACGTGGGTAGAGAAACTCACTACATTTTCCATAGGAAAGACACAATGCACAGTAAAAATGGACTCTTCTCTAATTAATTCATAGGAAAACCTTTCTTTGAATGAACACACATATCCTTCAGGTCATTGTGTATGTTGTTACTGTCCTTCCCTGGGAATCAAACCCATGACCTTTTGCGCTGCTAACGCAATGCTCTACCACTGAGCCACAGGAACACAGTATTTTATTTACAGGAAAAGTATTTACAGGAAAAGTAAATACTTACAGCGGATCTAATTATTTATAATTAATTATAACTAGTTATGATTAATTATTCATATTTCCCCTTTGAGCTGATTCGCTACACTGTATATAGTATATTAGTCTGGCGAGTAAACGGCTATTCTATTTCCAAGGTTTGCAAAGAGGGTTGCTGTCAGAGGGTGAGATGTACAAACTGCAACCAGAAGGACACTGATGGAAAGGCAAGCTGTAAACACACACAAATCCATCTGTGAAACTGTTCTTTTAAGAGGAAATCTTCTCTCAAAGATCACAGTTGAAGCACCCATGGTTACCCTCATTACACTTATCTGTGTATGGGCAAGGGAGAAACCGCTGCTTGTGCCATAGATCCAACGACGAGAAGATTGAGAGGTGAATGCAGTGCTGCATCTCCCAAAGAGATGTTGCATCGGATCCGAAGAACAGAATGAGTGAGCCAATGCCACGCTGGCCTATTTATGCCCGGATGTCCGTGGCGTGGCCAGCTATGCAAATTTTGCTCGCCAATTTCATTGGCCTTTTCTCAATGATGTCAGAGGATTCTGGGCTCCCAAATGCATCCCTAGTGTCAGAACTGAATGACTGAAAGGGAACTTTTACTTAGCTACACTGGGCAACATTCCTCTCATTACTTAATTTTAATGCAATACATGTTAAGAAATGTGTAGTTTATTCCAAGCGCTTTTTTTCTTGGGCATGAGCAATGCCCCATTAATAAATTAATCACTCTTTTGAGTCAATTCTGTTCAAGGCCTTGATCAAACAAGTTGGCAAAATGGTCTGAAATGGTTCTCGATTTATTCAGTTCCCTGCACGCACAGAATTGTCTGAAGCGGTTTCTTATTCGTACCGGGAAATTTAAGAACACAGAGAATATAAAGATCATTGGATAAAGTGGCAATGAACCTACAGTCAACTGAAACCAAATCTGCAAATTCTACTGCAGGGATCTACAACCCTGCTCCTGGAGAGTTACCATCTTGTAGACTTGCAACCCTGCTCCATTTCTGGCATTTTATTAATAGTAGATTTGCTTTATTATGTTGCATCAGATTTGTTTTTGAGCACGGTTTGCAACATTGAGCATTATAACTAATCACACACGTTTCTGTTGAGCTTATGAATGCAATATCCAGTCAGAGGCATTTTGATTTGTCAACGCAGAGAACTCCAGAGTTGTCAGCGAGCATGCTCATTGACTGAATTCTGAAACTTCATTAGTAAATTCTCTCATCAGCTTAAATAACAAACTGCAGAAAAGAGATTGATTGTGCAGTGTAGACAGCTTCAGTGATTATAACGGGAGTTTTTGCGAAAGTGCATAACTCGCATTACACTCAAGTCATGGACCGCTTCAGTGTTCTTTCGCTTTCTTTATATAATCTATTCCCAGTTTGAATAACTGTTTTGTTTTTCATGCTACTGATAGAAATAATTATCTGTAAAAAGCAATTCATAAACGGTTAATGCTTTTCCCCTTTCTATTAGGCCTAATCGAAAATAATGATCATTATTACAATATCAAGAGCAATAATCAGCAATAACGGTTTCTTTTCATGATATTGCAGCTTCACACTCTAATGAGTTCCTGTTTTTTTTGTGTTTTTTTTTTATTTATAGGCTATTTACATTATGCAATTTTTGTGTAAATACGTGTACATGAGAAGCATTAAACAGTCTGTGTAAATAAACATAAATGCCATGTCAGATGCAGCTACTGTTAAACTGTTGCAGTGTAAAGATGGCTTTTGTTGATGCTGAAAAAAACGAGACTGGTAGCAGTCTATAGTATTGTGATTGATTAAAGTGACTGGGTAAATTTGACAAAACAAACAACACAGATACATTTGATAAATTAGTTATAAAATCGCTTATAAGTAAAAAATACCCTGAAAATCAGTCACTGGTTACTTGAGTAATTTTTTCATTGGATACTTTTTTACTTTTACTAAATATTACTACTAACTATAGTAACTATTAGGATTAATACTTTTACTCTTACTTGAGTAATTATTTATATTAGTACTTGTACTTTTACTTGAGGACAGTTTTTGGATACTCTACCCACCTCTGCATATAAGACTGACATAAGTGGGTCAAAAAAAAAATCACACTAAAGTGCAACTAATTACATTTAATATAAATTTTAAATATATTAGATTTTAATTTTAAATAATATGAAATTATGAATCCGAAAACATTACATTCTATTAACACTAAAGTATATTCTTTAAAGTGTCTGGAATTTATAAAGCCGCATATTTCCATCTTAAAAATATATCTAAATTATGACCAATGCTCTCAGTGTCAAATGCAGGAACGTTAATTAATGTTTTTGTTCACGACCTCAAGGTTAGATTATTGTAATGCTTTATTGGGTGGTTGCTCAGCATGCTTAATAAACAAACTCCAGCTGGTTCAAAATGCAGCAGCTAGAGTTCTTACAACAACCAAGAAGTCTGACCATATTAGCCCGGTTCTTTCAACTCTGCACTGGCTCCCTACTGAACATTGTATACATTTTAAAATCTTGCTAATTACTTATAAAGTCCTGAATGGTTTAGCTGCTCAGTACTTGAGCGAGCTCATATCACATTATAATCCTTCACGTCTGCTGCAATCTCAAAACTCTGGCCATTTGATAATACATAGAATATCAAAATCAACAGTGGGCGGCAGATCCTTTTCCTATTTAGCTCCCAAACTCTAATATTAGTCTGTTTCATTCTTATTCTGAGGTTACCGTAGCCACCCAGATCCAGTCCATTTCTAGACCAGATGTTCACGGAAGCAACCCAGATCCAGTCCATATCCAGACAAGAGGGTGGATCAGCACCTAGTGATGACCAGAGTGGAGACCATGTCAACTAGATGAGTCCTAGAGACAGATCCCCTGCTAAGACTTTGTCAACTAGACGGCCATCGGGACAAGACCACGGGAACCAGACAAGTCCTCTACACAATCTGACCTGTGTTGCAACCTGGAATTAACACCATGCTGGTGTTCGTCTGGCCAGAGAAGAACTGGCCCCCCGACTGAGCCTGGTTTCTCCGAAGGTTTTTCTCAATTTCTGTCACCGATGGAGTTTTGGTTTCTTGCCACTGTTGTCTTTGGCTTGCTTAGTTGGGGATGCTTAATTTCTGGCAATATTGTCAGCTTGATTGCACAGACACTACTGGAAGAGAGCTGAACTGGATGATGACGTCACTGAATCTTCGATGAACTGACTGTAACTGAAAAATTGACTGTCTGTTATTGTCCTCTTGCATTATTGACAAACGATTTTTGCTGTTTGACACTGTAAAGCTGCTTTGACACAATCTGCATTGTATAAAGCACTATACAAATAAAGGTGACTTGACTTATTATTTATGAAATACATAAATTTTTTAAAGTATGCTAAAGTGTACTTCTTTTTCACAAGGGATTATAGAAAAGTGTGTACATTCAATTCAAGTTACAATGTAGCACACATTAATGTTATTTCTCCCAGTTTTATTTAAATAGATTAAATGTTTTACTCTTCAGGTCATCAACAGGCAATCACCAATTATTAAATGATCAAGGCATTTATGTGTCCAACTCAGATGCTGTACTACTTACTTATCATAGAAAGCTAATCAGTTTCAGGTTTTTTTTTTTTTTTACTAATTACTGCATTTAGGATTGGTTTGTGTTTTTTTTCTCCAACAAAATATATGATGTTGCTTTATAAAGCTCTGCAAGGTCTTACCCTGAGTGGGTTCTCATTCAGATATGGTGGCTCTCCCTCCACCATTTCAATCGCCATGATACCCAGGGACCAGATGTCTACTTTGGGGCCATAGGCTTTCCGGGTTACGACTTCTGGGGCCATCCAGTAGGGTGTGCCCACCATGGTGCTACGCTTGTTCTGCTCAGGTGTGATCTGAGCACAGAACCCAAAATCCGCTTTAGAAAGAGAGAGAAGGTTAAGACCTTGGTCTTTTATGGATAACAGGACATTTATAAAGAAAATGTGAGTTGTGTTTGTAACACCAGTAATGAAAAAAAGAAATAAAAGGCAGTTTAATTTTTGTTTAACTTACTTAGTTTCACTGAACCATCCATGCCCAGCAGAATGTTATCACTCTTGATATCTCTATGAATCACCTGATTAGAATGGAGGAAATCCAGAGCCTGTAGACACTGTGAAGTCACATCCAAAAAGAGTTAAGTCAGATCAGATCTTCATAGTAATTCAGTCTGTGTGTATGTATTAGGGGTGTATCAATATGCCATGCCATTGTAAATTGCGGTACAAAAATTATGACGATATGCATTGTGGGTGTTAAAAAAGATTTGTGACATGTATTAAGATTAGGGATTTACCGATCAGGTTTTTTGTGCCCCCGATCTGATCCAAGTCATTGAATATTAAGTTTGTGCTGATACCAAGTCCCGATCCAATACTTGTATTTTCCTAATGCTTGGTGCACACTTCAAGTACATTAAAGTTATAAAGTTGGTAATCCAATTTATACAGGGATGTGCAGAGAGTTTCTTTGTACAAATAATAAAAAATTTAATTATGAATATGGAACTACTGATTTAAACTTCTTGTGTTTGTACAATAAGCTGAATAATTGCACTTTTTATGATCTCAGAAACAGAACAGTTTCACCTAAACAATAACAACCCGTATTATTAAAAATTAAACAGATCATGTTCTATAATAAAACAGATCACCAAAACAAGATAGTTCAACCAACAACAATTCAAATAAATAAATAAATAAAAAAATAAAAATAAATACATTTTGCATTTTCCAACACATTTCGTCAGCCAGGCCCAGTTCTATGGGGGTGCTAGATAAAGCTAAGTTTTCTCACACTCATGTGCATATTTGTTCTGTGATTCCCTCGCCTATTGCGAACGAGAAAGTGTGTTGTTCAGTGTATTTTCCTTTAATAAATGCAAAATAAAGACAGAATAAACAGACCGCCAAGAAAAGCCCCGGTCACAAAATGGCGGACTACCTTATATACAGTGTAGAATATTCAACCTCTCTCAAACTATGCACCTGCCTGGCGAGTGATTCCGGGCATTTCAGAATTGGTAACGAGAACTGTGTTGTGGAAGATGCAAACAGTAGGAAAAAAAAACAGGGGCAGTGGGTCTCAGCACAACTTTCAGGGATTTTTTACACAAAATGACAAAATAAAACAACTCAAAAAAAATAAAAAGAAGGAAAAAAAAACGTACAATAAATAACAAATACAATAAACATACGTGACTACATTTGCCCCTCTCTAACTCACAGAAGTCTATGGACTGCAGTACCTGTTCAACCTTAGAACCCTACTAACTACACACCGGTTTTATACTTTGGTGACCAGCACCAATTAACACCTAAAGGGAAACACAGACAATGGCCATTATACAAAATACACAAACATAAAGACATTCAATAAACAAAACAAAACCCTTCAATCCACACCTTCCACAAATTACATTAATTTATAAATCAACTTTCATTTATAAAAAAAAAAGAAAGTGGGATATCTTGGAATTAACTGTCACATTATCTTGGCCGGGGACATGCTGGATGGTGAATCGATAAGGCTGGATAGACAAATGCAAGCACATCATCCTAGCATTTGAATCCTTCATACGGTTCATCCAATGTAGTGCTTTATGATCAGTCTCCAGTACAAACTCCCGTCCAAGCAGATAATACTTGAAAATGTCAAGGGCCCATTTTATCGCCAAACATTCTTTCTCGACAATTCAGTATCGTACCTCTCGCGGGAACAACTTGCAACTGATGTAAGCGATGGGGTGTCGATCTCCTTGCATCCCCTGAAGAAGAACGGTTTTTACGCTAATATCTGAAGCATCAGTTTGCAGTATAAAAAGTTTATCAAAATCAGGACAAAATAAAACTGGCTCTTGGCACAGAGCATCCTTAATATTCTGAAAAGCCCGATCCACTTCCTCTGTCCACTGAACCTGGTTCAAACAGTTCTTCCGAGTCAAATCAGTCAGTGCCGCTGCTCTTACCAAGAAGTTGGGAACAATTTTATGTAGGCCTATTTATGAATGTATTATTATTATTATTTTTTTTTTTTACAAGGAATTATTTTCTTATCGTACTTTGAATTTGCTATAAAAAATCAAATACACTGCTGGACAATAATCAGTCATTTGTAATCTATCATTTTTTCCTAATGGCAATTTTATGATTGTTTTATATAGGCTACTACAAACAATTATTTAAAATTTCTGCACAGAATTAGGTAGAAAATATACTTTATAGTTTCTGTACTGTAATAAATGATATGTCAATTAGCACTGCATCATTCATACATTTTATTTCTTTATTGTGTTTATTGTCTTAAGGTTTCACCAGTTCATTCTGTGTTTTATTTAACTTAGCTGCAGGGATATATGCCTTTGTCCATATTAGGCATTTCCTGGCAGGTCTTCTTTGAGCGCGAGATCACTTCTATTTCAGTGCGAAAACTTCTTTATCTCATTTTCATAAAATAAAATGCTATAGTATTTAACTTTTCCTCTCCATCGGCAAATGATAATTCTGAAAGAAAACGTGCCCGATGTCTGTTTGCTATAGCAACGAGCACTACTTTCATGAATCTGATTATCAGATAAACCTTGCGATCTTATTTCAAGGTTGTTAATGCTGTGGTTATTTTAACAGTTTTCTTCGTACATTCGGTTCAACAACATTCTGCATTACTGGCCACAACTACTAAGGAGAGATCACACATCAGCTGCTCAAAAAATTTGTCAGTGAAACGGAGTGCGAGCGCAATCCAGTGACAGTCACAGGCGGTAAATAGTGGAGCGCGTGAAGGAAAAATGCGAGGGCACGAACACTGTTCAAGGTATCCATTATTTCGTGCTTGTAGTAATTTAATGTGTATATATTTTGAAAGCATTGAATCGCTATAGAAATCGCGATTCATTCGATTCTTAGCATTTTAAATCGATTACTGTCCGAAATCGACGATTCACGATTCAAAAATCCATGTTTCAAGATCGATGCATATGCATTGTCAGGGTTTGTAATCGATGCATCGAGAAAACGAGTGAATCGTTACACCCCTAGTAATTACCAACATATAGCGGTTCCCTGACTTAGTCCTCTCTAAAGGCCCAACAATATCCATACCCAACTGCTCAAAAGGCACCCCAATAACAGGGAGAGGCTCAAGTGGGGCTCTAGGAGGAACCTTGACACTGTCTGTTGACTGGTCTGTTGACACTGCTGGCAAGTATTACAAAACATCGCTGTCTTTTCTCATAACTGGCCAGTAAAAATGACATGTTATCTAAGCTGTTATTTTACGTCTGTCTAGATGGCCCGACCATGGTATTGAGTGACTCAAAGAAAGGACTAATTCCCTACCATACTTGGGAACTACCATTTGTGGCTCAGGACTCTGTTTACGAAACAAAAACCCATCACGGAGAAAACAAAAAAAGACTCCCTGACTACTGTTCACCTCTGCCTGGCCTATCAATGTACTCTTCTCTACCAAACTATACAGGTCACCCACTTTGCAGGCATTCATTTGCAATTGTATTATATCTTGGGGTACTTTATAACCCAATGTATTCTCAGGAGCAAGTTCCTTTTCACTCACCACTACATGACGAATCTTTTCTCTCTTCCTCTGGGTCCTAGATTTCTGTGTCTTACCAGGCTCTGCTTCTAGGACTACATCAAAGAATGGTAAGGCTTCAAGTAATCCTACCCCATCCTCCCTACACAGCCATATTACAAACCGGCAAAGGAAAAAGATCAAACAGGACAGGCAGATCTTGACCCAGCACCATAGGGTAAAGCAAATCTGGTGAAAGGCCTACTTCCAAGAGGTAAGACTGTCCCTGCACTACCACAAAAACATCAGCTGTAGGATAGTACCTTTCATCACCATGAACACATTTGATTACTACTGGAGAGGTATGGTTCCATAAATTAATATGCATACAGGTACTCCCAGTTCCAACTAAAGCACTTACTTCCAAACCATTCAAACCTATGGTTACATGATGTATGGAAACCTTTGCTGCACTAGTTGGGCTATCTGGTCTTGGTACACCACACATTTGCGTATGTGGAGGGTTTATTAGGGCAACTAGGCTTTGTATGCCCTCCTGCCCACACTGATAGCACACAATAACTTTGGGGTTAGACCTTAATCTCCCACTAATAAGACCGCCAACATCACTCACAGGCTTACCTCCTGTTATACTAGTCTTTGTCGGTGATACAGGCCTCTTACTGGGTCTTTTGGGGTCTTTGAATGTCTTCCATTGGTTGTAAGACCAAGGTTGGCCTCGTCATCGTGCTGCAACAAAAACATCTGCCAGTTCTGCAGCCCTTTCTGCTGAGTCAGGGTTATGCTCCTTCGCCCATGTTTGAAGCTCTGGGGCAAGCATACGAAGATATTGCTCCAGAATAATCACCTCTGCAACTTCCTCCTTACTCTGATTCTGTGGCTGTACCCACTTGTTGAAAGTATCCTTAAGGCAGACAAAGCTCCTTAGGGGTCTCATCAGCTGCTACCTCTATGTAATGAAACCTCAAACAAAAGGCCTCTGGATTAATATCATATTTCTTTAAAACTGCTGCTTTCACATAATCATAGGCAAGGGACTCATTAATATCCATGTTCACATTAGCACTATAAGCTTTGCCAGTGAGTAACGGCACTAACCTCATAGCACAGTCTGATCTGGGCCATCAACATGCACTGACTATCTGCTCAAAGAATGTAAGGAAGTGTTCCACATCATCTTCTTCATTAAGTGGCTGTAGACGTGGCTCTGTCATAGCCTTTGATTGCACTACGGCTTGACTAGCGATATATGGTGAATCCTGAGGTACATTGGCTCGACCACCTCCTTGATCTGAAGGGGTATATTGAAGACATGAAGGAGGAACAGAAGTCGGCGTTGTTCTCGTATGTACTTCCTCTTGAAGAAGCGTAAATTGATTTTGAAGAGCATTCTATCTGGTCTCCTGCCACGCTGCCTACTGGTCAAGTCGTTTGTCTCTCTGTTGCTGCATCTTGATATGGGCACGAAGCATGTCCCGTATCTCCTCTACCGTAACATTCTTTGAATAGTGATTCACTCCGGCAGATCCTCAGCATCAACTCCTCCTGTACCGGTTGCCACCAGTTTATCATCTTTTACAACTCTCTTCGGTCCCATTCTGACCAATGAAAGCAAAAAAAGGAAGAAAAAAAACTATGCTACTGCCCCCTACTGGCACAATCCCACCACTGGAAGATTCAACCAGTAGGAAAAAAAATTAAATAAAAAATGGGGCAGCGGGCCTCAGCACAACTTTCAGGGATGTTATTTTCAACACCAAATTACAAAATAAAGTAAAAAAAAACAAACAAAAAAACAATTATACAATAAAGATAGGTGACTACATTTGCCTCTCTCTAACTCACAGAGGTCTATGGACTGCAGTACCTGTTCAACCTTAGAACCCCACTAACTACTGCACACACTGTTAGGCTTTATACTTTGGTGACCAGCACCAATTAACACCTAAAGGGAAACACATACACACAGATAATGGCCATTATACAAAATACACAAACATAAAAACATTCAATAAACAAAACAAAACCCTTCAAAACACACCTTCCCCAAATTACATTAATGTATAAATCAACTTTTATTTATATATAAAAAAAGAAAGTGGGAATTCTTGGAATTGTTATTCTTCTTTTCCTTTAATGACGTTTGGCAAACCTACTGGAAGGTGCATACCGCCGCCTACTGCACGACACAAGCATGACAACTTACGTAAAATAATGATCGGCTGACACTAATCTGTTAAAAAAATGTTTAAATGGCCCCGCTGGGGACATCCCTAAAATGCATATTAAGTATTAAGTTCTTTCAATCCACCTTTTTCCTGAACCCGGAAGTCTCGCCCGACTGGAACCATGCTTTAAATTTACATTTACGATGCCTCTGGTGTTTCTAGTCAAATTAACATATTTTCCGAGCTGCTAATATAACGTTAAACCTATGAAAATGGTTTTAAAAAGCACATGGTGCCATAGTTTCATCACTTTACAGTGTCACAATGACAATGTCTTTTTGCAGTAACTCACCTGTCATAGTTTAATGAGTGGGTACGTGACATGAAGTGACCCGTGGTTAGCTGCATTAAAAACACACGAGTGCACATATCCTACAAACAGCTCCTGATCAGGGCGAAGTTCGCGGGATTTTGTCCTCAAAATGATAAGAGCTCTCATTATATTAACTTTTTCTTTATTTTTTCACACACAGTATTTTAACTTGAGCGCTCCAAGCCATGCTCGTTTTCTTTCGTCATCATTTATGCAAGGCATACAACGCCGGACACGGACGGATTTGCTGGTGCGCAAAACAAGTACTTTACAGGAATTCCTTAAGCTTATTGCTGTTACTGTGGCAGCCAACTACAGCACAGCTTAAAACTGCGCACATTTTTATATTTAGTTTTATTGAAAAACATCAGTTTAATTAATTCAGTCAATCTTTTTACCCCATTTTAACATGGATTTCTATGGAGACCAGAACACAAGAGCACCCAGACAGAAGTTAGAATCCATCATGGCGGCGCTCATCAGTTACTCAGGAAAAAGGTGGATAGTATTCATGCTCCACACTCTGTGCTGCTGTGAAACTGATGTAGAGCTTGACAAAAAAAACAAAACAAAAAAAAAAACTAGTATTGAAATACATTTTTAAATGTATGTTTTCCGTGATAGAGCATATAGGTACAGCATATTTCTGTATTTTTAGCTATGTAGAATTAAGAATATTTCTATTTTGGCATCACCATTGCCTTGTGCATGAAGGTGAAGGACCAAGTTTGTTCAAGTTTTGGATGTAATATTTTTTATTTTAGCTTTGTTTAAAGTATCGTTAAAGGATCGTATCAAATCAAACCAAATCATGACATGAGAGTATCATTACACCCCTAAATATACTATATGTTGTGCAATTTGTGTGTATATGTTACCTCTCTGCACACTGCAGCAATCTGTCCCTCATCCATGCATGTCTCGGTTACCACATCAGTAAGTGAACCACCTGCCAAATATTCCATCACCACCCACAACTCATCTCCTACTAGATAACTGAGACAGAAAGACGAAAACAATTCATATTACAGGCATCAACCTGACCACTGAATGCAAAGATGGTAGTAAAATATGGTACCTATATGGTATCTATATAGGTAGTTTTCAGTATTTCAGGTTGAGCAAAAAAGTGTAATGCTTTGCTAAATATTTTTAATGTTATTTACAATTATTCAAATAGCAGATTTATTCATTTTTATGAATGATTTTTTATTAGTTTTTTTTTTTATTTAAAAAGATGTACAAATGAGAATACTACAAGCAGAAACATTTAATCCAATTGAGAAAACAATACAGAACAAATGTTAACAAAACATTTGTTAAAAATGTTAATGTATGTGCTATTAAATAAACATTATGGCTATCAACAGCATAAAACAACTTATATTACTTAAGTTTGGCATTATCCCGATTAATCTCACATTTTGAATTTACTGCTTTGTCCTCTAAATATAGATTTCTGTTATTTGTAGTCCATTTTCTTTCGACCATTAAATTGAGTATTCACATTCTGTCTGAACATGCTTTTATGAACAATGTACATTGAAATTTGTTATGTTCACGAATAAGGCCAAATAGCCATATTCACACACGCACGCACACACACACACACACACAC